TTCTTTGCGTGAACGTTTGGGCGGCGTTATGAAAATCTTCCCACGCAGTGATGTAGACATGTGGGAGCGTGTTTAAACGAGCCGTTTTAGGAGGGCGTGGACCAGTCTTAACTTTTATAAAGAATATCTCTTTGGATTTGAGACTTTAGTCGTTGCAACTTTAGGGATCTTATCCATTCACGAACAGCATGTAACACTCCAAAGAGAAAGGAAAACTTGAAATCGCATCATATGACCCCTTTAACATTTTAATAACGTGACCTTTTTGTGTGCGTGTATATATATATATATATATACACACACACACACATATATTTGTGAAATTCAATACTTGTTTCTTACAGAAATTGGGGTGCTGATTCCCAGTGCTGGTTGTGCTCTAGTATGTCACACCTTCTCACAAATTATGCATGTTCTAGCATTTCTGCTTTTGACAACCATTTGTAAGATATAGAAGTCTTGTATTATCCACAAACACGATTACTGTCTTCCTCTGAGACAGATTAAAACTGTTTGTTCAATTCTCAGCTCATTTTTACGTGTACGTATGTAGACTATTTTATGTATAATCTTGTTTTTTGTTGCTATATCTGTGGGTGTTTTACTACATCCAAACAGACAGAACATTACAATTTTGTGGGAAAACGATTGGAGAGTATTTGACCCCCCCCCCATTCCCCATTCTTTTGCAGATTATAAGTTAAATACTGAATACTATTTTTTGTCATTAAAACTGAATTTTTTTTATTCTTATAACTTAAGTGTGTGTATGTGATGGAAAGGTTCAGGGCTTTTTTTAAGATGCAGGGCTGGGTAATTCCTGGTATAATATTTAGACAAACACATTGCAACTGTAGTTTCCCTTAATAATGAAATGAGTGAATTTAGTGGTCATTTGTGAATTCCTGATATCCATTAACACAGAAGGAGCACTTTTGTTTTGTACGAAATAAGACACTTGACCGCAGTAACATTCTTGTCAAATCAATATTCTTCATTAAAATATTTTATGTTACACTGACAATCTTATATAAATTATACAGTAAAGTTTAATCTTTCATTAGTTAAAGGCAACAGAACTGCATAAATTAATACTATTTTCAAACTCGCAGCATAATAAAAATTAGCTAAAAAATGTCAAACATAAATGCAAAAACAAAGACTATTTTCAAACACGCAGCATAATAAACTGGCATATGATTACATATTTTATCTTTAAATTTTCTCATTGAGATTCTGTAAACAAATTCTACCTCCATATTGAAAACCACCTACAAATTAGTGGCATGTAGAAATCAAACAAAATGAATAATACAGAAATTATTCAACATTTTAGGTGCAAACTGATGTCATATTTATCTTATTAAGATTAGAGTGCCATTTCTCATCAGTAGTACATGCAAAACTATCTGCATAAAAGTGTAAAGCAGCATAAGACTACAGCACATGATAGATTCACAGTCTGGCTTGAGGTGGTTTTTCAAACAGACTCTGTCTCAGCAGATCGAGCGCGTCCAGCGCAGTTCCCCAGCTCAGAGTAACACCACAGCTGCCATGACCGTAGTTGTGCACCAGAGGCACCTGACGGCCCTCTACATGCAGATACTGGTGCTCCACCCGCGGGTTCGCCCGGCCCGGCCGCAGCCCCACCCACTCACCCATCACCTGAGCCGCTCGCAGAGACGGTTCCAGCCGACAGCAGCGCTCCAGGATCCCCTCGCTGTCCTCCTTATCCACCTCCAGCCGCCAGTCATCCGCCTGCCGCGTGCCTCCGATGCTGACGTAGCTGATGCCTGGGTAGATGTAGGTATTGCCATCTCCATCTCGGATGAAGTTCTTCAGCCACGGAGCGTTTACCTTCAAAATCTGTCCTCGTACTGGATAGACCTCCTCATCCTTCACCAAAAAACGAGAACCGAGGCCTGAGCAGTTCATGATGGCATCATAATTCAGGGCCAGTTTATGAAGATCAGTCACTTTTTCATGTATGATCTGACCTCCAACTGCTTTTAATCTAGAGGAAAACATAAAACATAACACTGGTTTATTTATTATACGATTACAATTCCCCTGTAGTTTTCTTTTTTGTTTATAAACTGTGTGAGTGCAGTTTTTTATTTTATATATATATATTTAACTGTCTGTAATGCACTATTAGTCAAAAATTTGGAATAATAAAGTTTTATGAAGTTTCTTATGCTCATCAAGGCTGCATTTATGTGATCAGAGTAAAAAGTAATATTGTGAAATATTATTACAATTTAAAATAGCTGTTTTCTATTTCAAATAACACTGGTTTATTTATTATACGATTACAATTCCCCTGTAGTTTTCTTTTTTGTTTATAAACTGTGTGAGTGCAGTTTTTTATTTTATATATATATATTTAACTGTCTGTAATGCACTATTAGTCAAAAATTTGGAATAATAAAGTTTTATGAAGTTTCTTATGCTCATCAAGGCTGCATTTATGTGATCAGAGTAAAAAGTAATGTGAAATATTATTACAATTTAAAATAGCTGTTTTCTATTTCAATATATCTTAAAATTGTAATTTATTACTGTGATGCAAAGCTGAATTATTTGCAGCCAGTACTCCAGTCTTCAATGTCACATAATCCTATCCTTCAAAGAAAAAAATAACAAATTTGTGCAAACCATGACACACTACCATTAAAAAGTATAAGGTTAGGAAGAAAATAAAGAAATTAATGCCTTTTCAATGCAGCAAAGATGCATGAAATTGATCAAATTGACAATGTAGAATTGGGTAGTGGCTGCTGAAAATTCAGCTTTACCATCACAGAAATAAATTACAATTTAAAACATATTATAAGAGAAAACAGTTCTTTTAAATTGTAATACTATTTCACAATATTACTATTTTTACTGTATTTTTTGGCCAAATAAACGAGGCCTTTGGTGAGCAGAAGAGGCTTCCTTAAAAAAAAAAAAAAAACTACTTTTGACCAGCAGTGTATAACTATACATTTTATAATAAATACAAAATAAATAAATAAAAATTACCTAAAACTTTAAACAGTACCTTTTCTCTAGCCATGGCAGGTAGCTCAGACATTCACACTTTAATGTGGTAAACGCTTGACCAAACTTATGATTAGGGAAACGCTTCATTTCACGATCCGTCATGTATCTGAATCCAAACACAAAATCTGACCAGAAGGGCTTTTTGTCGCAGGGTATCTCCTTAAAAATGTGGTACCTAAGATGCCGCAAAGTAGAGATTATGAAAGATGAAAAACACTTTAATATACCATCTTTTTGCTTTTTTTTGTTATCAGGGTTTTACCCGGAGCTCAAGTACACGCCAGCATCTGAGGCTTGAGGGGAATCTGCAACGACCAGAAGATGATCGAACGACTCCTTGAACCAACGCCGTTGCCGCTCAAGAGGGATGTCTAGTAAGAGAGGACAATAACAATCCATTTAGACTGGACTGGTTGGTTGCCTTAAAAACGGAAATGCACAATCCCAAACACATGATATAATGACAGGTTTGATGCATCATCTCACCAGGAAACTCTTTGGGCAAGAGGATTCCAGCCGCTCCATCACCGGTGGTGTCCGGTGAAAACTTCTCAGCAATAACAGTCACAGAACAATGTGGAAGCGTCTCAGCGACACACACAGCAGTGGATAAACCCACCACACCTGCTCCAACCACCACCACCTCCACACGCTTCATCCCTCAGATCAACTACAACATACAGTACAGACTAACTGCTTCAGGGAGCAAAGGAACGTGTGCACTGTCAATCAAGAGTCACATTTAAAACTTTGCATTTTTATTTTCTATTAACATCTAATAAAACTTCTGCTGATGTTGCACCATTAAACTGTAGTATAAAAGATCATTAAACAGCAGTTGGCATTAAATAGTATGTTATAGGTGTCACTATGTTATGAACATTTTTTTATTCATTAAAAAAAGTCACTGAAATAGTAAGAAGGCAAGTGCTATAACCTGGGATTTTCACCTAAATCTCTGTTTGTTGTTTGTTTTCCCTTTACACAATACACAGACTTAAACATCCATGCAAGACAACCATAATATCAGAATTTGTGCCAATAAAGTCAATAAACAACAGACTGTCCTACTTACCCAGCTAGCAGAGAACTTTCTCAGAACTTTGGCTAACGTTCTGGCAAGGTTCTCTCAAAGTTATGAACTAACATTCTTCCAGTAACGTTAATATGATACTTATACATCATTCAAAGTTACGTTCTTCTATAAACTTTCGCAGTTTATTTGTTTTATAATCCTGCCAAACGTGTTAAAACACACACACACTCTCTACTCGTGACTTAGCCAACACTCAGGCCAGGTAGGGACCGACTACAAAGTTCATTTTTAAGTAGAAAACGATTATTAATTTCCCACCTAATTTTTTCTTAACAAAATAAGAGCAAAGTCTTTCAAAGGTAAACACAAACACACATAACTGAATTCAAATAAGAAATAAACAAGATATGTGATAGTGGTTATTATTATATTATCAGGATGGAATGAGATCCAGAGTCATTTTCTTCCAAAATGAGAATTTTTTAAAATCAGGCTCCTAGGTTCTTTTCATTGCCATTAAAGTGAAAATAACTGAATAAAAACATAGAAGCCTGAGAAAAATGCTTATTTTAGAAGAAAATTTCAGACGGCACTAAAATTTCACACGGCTTTTGCATCAGAACTCTTAATATCATTCCATCCTGAATTCAAAGGTTACGCAGTAGGCCTATTCCAGGTCATGTAGGTATTTTTCCCCAAAATGTAAATATTATCATTCTTAATAACATTATTATTACTAATGTTATTATTCTTAACATTATGTGTGTTTATGCGAGTATGTTTCATAACGTGTGTACAGCTTTTTTTTTTTCCAGCAGCGAAGCATTTGGATGTGGAACCATTGTGCGTTTATTCTCTTCGTTTTGTACTTTGTAGACGGCCCCTATCTTGTGTCTTTATATTATAACATTTCTGGGTTGAGAAACATCAAGGCAGAATGAAACGAATACATTACACTGTGTTCTCTTTTCTCATTTTTTTTTTAAACAATTCAAACACAACACGTTTTTGCCATGAATCTAAAGCGTCTATGATCTATTTTTCGAGGTTGAATATCCCAACTTCATCACGGTCAAACACTCAAAATAACATTCCCCCATAATGTCTGCAAAATAATAAAGATGAACATTCCTCATAATGTTGTCTTTAACGTTCATATACCCAGGAACACATGTTTTTAAACAGTTACAAAACTGGACGTTACCTGCTAGTTAGGCTAAAATGTGTTATGCTTCTATTGAAACAAACATAGCTTAAACACATTTAGAAATCATGCCTACACTTGCCATACCAGTAATAAGAATAAAGTCCATTGTCCATTCCCTCAATGCAGATTATTTAGTAAGAATATTTACAACATTGTACAGATAGTGTTACTGTAGTAAATCCAAGATTAACTTTATGCAAGGTAAAAAGAACAAGCTCTGATACTACTGTAGTATTTGAAATAAATTTTACAGAATGTTAAAGCAGGGGCACATTTAGTTTACACGTACTTACCTCGAGCTTACTAAGATCTGCTGCATGAACAAACACAACCAAACCTCTGTCTGTGAATCATCACCCACACTCTTGACGCACATTAATCATTCATTCGTTATGCGCTCGATTACAGCACAAACCGATATGGGACAAGCTGTCACGTCTTCCTGCTGAGACTAGGCTAGGACTGTTATGTTTTAAAGATCTTCATCCAAAAGCATCATGGGGAATGGAGTTTCACTCGTCTTTTTTGAATATTTGAAGCGCTTTTGAAGCACAGATACAAAAATTTAAAATAATTGTAATATATTAGTGTGCGGCTAATGGTTTAGACTGCTAAAGGGAAAAATACGCGTACAGTACAGTTACTCCATTCAGTTTATTTGTGCTGCGCCTGCTATGCTTCGCCAGCACAACAGTGGCGCTGTTTGCAAATGACAAAAGTTGTTGTTCCCATGGTTGTTCCGCTAGGGGGCGCATTGAGACTAAAAAAATAAATAAAATCCCAGAACGTCTTAGACATTATTTTTTAGACAGATTTTAAATGTCTATTACAATAGAATCAATTAACTCACTGTTTTTTGGGTCTGTCCAGGGGACTCTCTCCAACCCGTTTCAGTATTGAGCTCATCAGTTGTGTTTATAAAGCTACTGTTTGTAAAAGACATAACTGAGTTGTTCCTGAGCAAACCTGTAATACAAGAAGCCACAGAGGTGAACAAGTCAAGTTTAGAAGCAAACAGACACTCAGAAAATGACAGTGTGGTCTACCTGCTGATGCGTTTCTTAAATGTAGCCTTCTTGAGGAGGAGCTTTGGCGTCCTTAAGCATGAACACAAGTGAGTGACGTGAATAAAAATGCTTCCTTAATGCTAAAAAAAGGTAACAGAAATCAGTATTGTGAGCACCTGAAGGAAATGGAGATTTACACAATGCTGACTCAAAACTGTGGATCTGACTTTGTAGTTTGTCCACCAGCTGGAACGCCTCTAGTTTCAGGCTCCGCTCCTGATGAAGCTGACCTCTCACCTTCAAAACACAAGATATTTGACCTTTAAGCATGTGGCAGATGCTTTTATCCAAATCTACTTTTATTGCAGTAAAGGTATACATTTCATCAGTTCGTGCATTCATTCCCTGGGAATTGAATCCATGACCTTGGTGGTTTTAGCATCATGCTTTACTGTTTGAGCTTTTACAAATAATCAAGACTTTCACAATATTTCAAAAAGTTTGTTTTTTCATTTTGATGTTGAAGTTTAAGGCAAGACACTACAGGTGGATAGGGTAAAAATTTATATCACCATCATATACCGCTAAACTTCCCCCAGTTGATTAGTCATAGTACATTAAGACAATACTTATGTATAACAAGATTCTGAAATATTATGTTTTAATATGCAAATGAGGCATTATCTAATTTAAGAAATGCAATAATTTGCACACATAAATCTGAACATTGGATAAAACCAGGTTCAAAATTCTTGTTAAATATTGTTGACATATTAGAGTTAAAGGTTTTTACCGATTTTGGATATCGCTCCATAAATCAGAAAATACTGTCAACAGCCAGAAAAAAAATATATATTTTCACCATGTTTTTAAGAATAAAATGTGTAGATTATCTGAATAACATATGAACAAACCCTTATATAAAAACCTTCAGAATAAGAACAAAACTGTAAAGTTTGGTATTAGTATTGCTGAAACGGAGAGAGGAAATTGACTTTAAAGATATGCATTGTAAATGAAATCTACAGACGCAAAAAATAATGTGTGATACGATAAACACTTAAATGTGTGTTTTGAATGTTTTCTTTCCACAAGTCTAAAAGAAGACAGGTTAGGGAAGCAAAATAGCCCAAAAACTCAAAACTGAGCAGTGCATGAAAAAACACTGGTTTTGCCTGTAGAGACTTGCCTTTACATGTATAATAATCATTCCAAAGCCTGCAGCTGAGACTCACGTGTTTGATTTGCTGTTGTTGCCGCAGCTCTGTCTCGTTGCTGTTTTTCTCCAGTTGTGAGCTCAGAGCTCTGAGTTGACTCTCTCTGTCCTCCACGTCTTCCTGCATCCGCAGCACCTGCAGCTCCTGTCGGCTCTGTGCGTCTCGTGCGGAGCGATGCTCCATGAGACTGAGACAGAGGTGTAAAGTGTTAGAGTAATAATATTTGACTACTCTACATACAGTATGTATGTTTTTGGGGAATCTGTACTTTACTTGAGTTCTGCTAAAACGAAATGTTAAATATAATACTTTTTACTCCATTACAATCAGTGCTATTTTAATATCACTGAGATCCTATTATGGATTTTATTAATATTTTTAATAATTTTTTAGTTTTTATATTTCATGTTTTCATTTGAAATTTAAAGTTTTAGTCATTTTGTTGTTTGTTTTCGCCATTTTTATTAGTTTTTATTTATTTTTATTTCAGTTAGTTTTAGTTTTTTAGTGCATTAAGTGAAACTAAAAAATTAGAAATGTTGCCTCTGCAAATAGTTTCAATAAAATAAGTATGGGTTTCTTTTATATTTTTTGTTAATTTTAGCTGAAAGCATGCAGGTAACAGGTTATTGGTATCTTCACAAAGTTTTTGCATCAAAATGATCTCTACTTAATTTAACTATCTCTACTTAATTTCAAAAGACTAGAAAAGTGGATGCACTTAGATTTTAGATGTAGTATCTGTACTTGATCCAGTATCTGTATATACAATTTCTCAGTAGTTTTTACACTCCTGGATTAAGATCATAACATCAAACTGAGCTCATTTTTTATCCACTTCGGTCTAGAAGCGTCATATATATTTCAGGTACTTCTGTCTTTATGATGGCTCAGTTTGCACACAGCAAAGCCAAATTAAGGACATAAAGATGAGAAGGCTGGGGGTGCTGTACCTGCTGTATGTGCTCATATTCACTCTTACACTGCAGCATGGCCTCCTGCACAGCATCCAGCTCTTGTTTTAGACCAATCTCCTTCTGCTCCGAGATCATCTTCACTTTAAGAGCTTCAGTTTTAAACGACACCTCATTCTGGACACACAGGAGCAACATTCAGAGTTACTAAAGGGCAAAAGAAGAGGTGGAGAGACTAACCAAAGCATGGGATTATTGAACACATGTGATTGATATATACCAGTTTCCACTGCAGCAGCTCTTTTTGTAGTTTCTCTTGAGCGATCACCAGCCTCCAGTGGTTAAAGGCTCTCAGTTTGTCAAGTCCAGCCAGCTTACTATTCTCCGCATGAAGATCTTCTAATACTTCTTTCTGAATAAAACAAACAGATAATAGGTTGAACGTCACAAATAAATAAAAAAAACTTTTGCATATATTTTGCTTAAAAAGCAACTGTTATATACTATATAATTTTCATGGCAATTTAGCATATTTCCCCCCAAATTATTGTCATGTTAATCATATAATTTCTAAATTATTAAAATTAATTTGTTTAAAATTTTACCAACATACAGCACAATATTTCCATCTTTTTTAACATTACATTAGTGACAAGAAAATTGTCACATTAGAAATTAAAAGGTCTACATGGTCCTAAATAGGGTTTATTTATATATAAATAATTACAAAACAAAATTATTTTCATTTATTTGCTAATAAATGTGTTTATATACAGTATATATATATATATATATATATATATATATATAAACACAT